GCTTCTGCTGCCGCCGCCGCCGCCGCCGCTGCCGCCGCTCCGGTGCCGGTCCGGTTCCCGCTGCAGCCCAAGTTCATTCTTTTTTAATGCTGTATAATATGTTACATGAATTGCAACAGCTTATTCATCCAGTATCTTGTTGCTAGTTATTTAGATTGTTTTCAGGTTCTTGTGAACTGTGAAAATGTAAATAAAGGCTATTAGTTTTTTAAAAATCAAATTGAAGAAACTCTGCTAACAAAAACAGAAAACATTAAATTGTAATGTTGAAAGTAGAAAGTATAGATCCCTCTGTAATCATATCCCCAGAGATAACCAATATTAAAATTTGGGGTATCTCTCTCTCTGCTCTCTTCTTTTAAATGTGATGTCTCTTGGTATACACATATTATATACATATATTATACATATATTAATTTTTTGAAACAAAAATGGAATCTATAACTTGCTGTTTTCCGTAGCAATGTATCATGGATATTATTACTTGTCATCATGTAGAGATCTACTTCAACCTTTTTAATAGGTCTTTGGTGTTTCACTTTGACATGTCAATATTTATTCCACAAATCCCCAATTTATGGAAATTTTGGTTATTTTCAGTTTTCTGCTATTACAAACAATGTTGCAATACCTCTTTGGGCATTTGTCTGATTATTTTCTTAAGATAATTTCCTAGAAGTGGAATCTCTGGATTGAAGTGTATGTAGTTTTATTTTTATCTGTCTTCACCAGATTGCCCTCCAAAAATCATTTAATCAATTCACATTCTTATCATCACAGTATAGAGCTCAGAGCAGGGAATACCTAGTCCAATTTGAAGTTCAAGAGAGACTTTTTGGAGGAGGTGATTCCGGACCTGAGTCATGATGACACTTGAGTCAAGCCATCAAAAGAGCAGATAAATAATCTACAGGGATCCAAGGTCAGAGAGTGCTCAGGCTGGATCTGAGCTTGTTCAGATCTGCCCACTCCAACACTAGGTGTCACTGACATATTTAATCTTTGCCAAATAGAATTACTTGTCTGTTTTTTGTTTTTTGTTTTTTAATCTATCAGAACGATTTCATCACCCATTTTCTGGTCTAGAGGATACGGAATAATGGTTATCAAGAGTGTTCCCTCAGAGATCATAGAAGGAAAAAGAAAAGAGTTGCTTGAAATCGTCAAACATAATCCTGATTCTATCTTAGACACGTTAACCTCTCGGAGGCTGATTTCGGAGGAAGAGGATGAGACCCTGGGGAGTGTTACAGATCCCCTGGAAAAAAGTCGGAAGCTGTTAATTTTGGTACAGAAAAAGGGAGAGGTCAGCTGTCAGCATTTTCTCAAGTGTTTACATCCTTTTCCAGAGTCAGCAACCATCTGGGACTTAAGGCACCATAAGTTGGATTTTTACACTATTTGTGGCCAGAGAGGGGAGGAAGATTTTCTGAAAAAAAGAATATTATAATATTTTTATTTTTGTTGGTCTTTCTCCTGGAGATAATTTTCACGGAAATATGAGATGAGGGGAAAAGTGTCCAAACACTTTTGTCCAAGTGTTCCCTGTTTAAAAATCAGGGAACAATGCATCTTACTGGTTTAGGGGATCGATAATTTTTTGTTCAGACTGTACTGAAAACTTGCAGTTGTTTTAGTGCTACCATAAACTGCTCGTTATTCTCATCTTCACAGTGACATCCTGAAATCTCACAGTTGGAAAGCGAATACTGTAAATAGTGACACAATCCAGGTTTCTTTTTCAAGTAAATGAATATGGATATTAACAGTTCCAAGGCCACTAGCTGCGTCTTTCACTTAGCGTAGCCATTTTGAAAATACAGGAAAAATAATTTTTAGCATACATAGATGGTGGATCAGTTACTTCATTTTCTTTGTGATAAGAATGCCAGCAGAACCCCAGTTTTCTGGAGCAATTCAAATAATAATTCTCAAGCAGGTCAAAGATAACATTTGGCAGATGAGGGAGCAGTTCTTCCAGAATGTCTTGTTTAGCAATTCCATAAACAACCACTAGAGGCAGGTGTAGCTCCTTTACTAGGAATCTAAAAAAATATTTAGGATTATTTTAAGGGATGTTAGAGAGGTAGGTGCTTAGATAAAAAGGTGAATGTTAATGGTCCCTAATGTAGACCCGTATGCTTAGAAAAATTGGTTTTATTACTTCTAAGATACACTATTCCAAATTAGAGCCATTTGCTTACTGATTTGAAATTATTGGGATCAGATTTTATTAGCAATGGCCCCAGGAAATCTGAGTTTATTGTGGGTCACAGTAAGTCCACAAGTAAATACGGTTCATAAGATTCAGATTTTCTGTTTGACTTATTCAGTGAGGTGACCTAATTTTTTTCAGTGGGGAAAAAGAGTTCTGATAGTTAACTTGTTGCCATGCAAATTACATAGGAGGCAGTAGGTATTCCTGTCCTACAGTGAAATAAAAAAAGGGATGATGCTTTGAGGCCTTGAAAACCCTAGTTCTGGGCCGAGCCCGTGGCGCACTTGGGCTCCCACCGCAGGTTCGGATCCTATATAGGTATGGCCGGTGCGCTCACTGGCTGAGCACAGTGCGGCTGGTCTCAAAAAAACAAAAAAAAACAAAAAAAAGAAAGAAAAGAAAAGAAAACCCTAGTTCTCATACAATTACTTTTTTTTTTTTTTTTGAGACCGCCACACCGCACTCAGCCAGTGAGCGCTGTGAGCGCACTGGTCATCCCTATATAGGATCCAAACCCACGGTGGGAGCGCTGCTGCACTCCCAGTGCCACATTCTCCCGAGTGCGCCATGGGCTCGGCCCATTATACAATTACTTTTCATTAATTTTGAAAAAAAAAAAAACAAATCTTCTTGTTCTTTTCAGAATTTTTAAAGCATGAAACTATAGCACCTTCTCAGTCTATGGGAGTAAGCAAGAATTCAGAAGATGCTTTTTGCCCTGGAAAGAAACAGCCTGAAGGGCCAGCCTGTGGCTCACTTGGGAGAGTGCGGTGCTGATAACAACAAGGCCACGGGTTTGGATCCCTATATAGGGATGGCCGTTTAGCTCACTTGGGAGAGCGTGGTGCTGACAACACCAAGTCAAGGATTAAGATCCCCTTACCGGTCATCTTTAAAAAAAAAATGAAAGAAATAGCCTGAGAATCCCTAGATCTCAGAGTCCTTCAAAAAGAAAGCACACTTGGACTTGGAAACCTCTGAGTTTTTGAGGGACAAGAAAACTAGTTACAGGGAAACTGCTTTGTCCTCCAGGGAGAATGAGAAGGGATATGACACTCCAAAAGTCACATCGTGTTTAGTTGAGAAAGTTGAATATGAAGTTCCAGCAACTATGCCATGTTTAAGAGATGGAAAGAGATACAAGGAGCCAGATGACTCTTTATACTTAGGAAAAGAGGAATATCTAGGATATATTGGATACCTTGAGGATGCAGAAAACACGATGAAAAAGGATTATGATGACCCAGAGCATATCGTAGATGATGGCAAAGAGGACTCTGAGTACTCAGAAACCACAGAGTTCTCTGGTGAAGAACAGAGTTACAAGGATTCAGAAACCAGCATTTCATTGGAAGAGGAGGAGAAGAAAAATATGGAAGGTATGAAAATGATGTGTGTATAGTTAGTTAACTTATCAATAAGTTAGTCAGGTAGCCGTGACATATGGGGAGAGGTGATGAAAAAGGGCATATACGTCAGCAGAAAAGCAACTACTCAGAACTTCCTACGCTTCTCTAACCTGTAATCTCCTCAGATGTGGGTGTTGACAGGCAGGAGGACCCAGGACCTCGGAAATGGTGGACAGTATAAGCAAAAGTAAGTATGGACTTCAGCTTATAGACTTTTGCAGTCACCTCCATCATACATATGAGGAGTTGTTAACCATTAATTTTAGGCATTGCCTTCTATGTCTCAGATTAAACCACTGTCGCCGTCTTAGTGCCTTTGAGATCTGGGCCTAACCACTGAAGTGGAAACATTCAGGAGAGAAGTTTGTGGTGAGTGGTGAAGATCCCAAAATATTACTCCTTGGCTTGATTCAGTCCATATATTGCCGTCTCGATGAGGAGAATTTTATCAGTATCTTGAGTCTGGATATTTCTTAATGAAAATTCAAAATACGAGAAATACTCCACTGCCTTCATTTGGAGATATATTGTCTGGGAAAATAAACATCACCAAATTCTGAGTAGAGAATGGAAAGGTAACTACCATCTCACATTCTGTTCAAATCCTGGGGATTCATAATCCAGTTCTGGGTAGGAAAAGAATAATTTCTTCCTCATCATACTTTGTATTAGTTTGCTGGGGCTGCTGTAACAAAGTACTACAAAATGGGTGGCTTAAATAACAAACAACAGAAATTTATCGTATCACAATTCTGGAGGCTAGAAGTCTGAAATCAAGGTTCCAGCAGAGTTGGTTACTTCTGAAGGCTGTGAAGAAGGATCTGTTCCTAGCTTCCAGTGGTTTGCTGGAAATCTTTGGCATTCCTTGGTTTGCAGAAGCATCACCCTGACCTTCATCTTCAAATAGTGTTCTTCCTGTCTCTCTCTCTCTTTTTTTAATTGAAACAATTGTTTATACATATTTATGGGGTACAGCTGAGTGTGTGTCTCTATGTTCAAATTTCCCCTTTTAATGACACCAGTCATATGGATTAGGGACCCCACTAATGACCTCAACTTAACTAATTACATCTGCAATGACTGTATTTCCAAATAAGTCACATTCTGAGGTACTAGAGGATAGGATTTCAATATGAATTTTGGGAGGATATAATTCAACCCAAGGTTTGGAGAAAAAATAGATTCTACCTCTTGCAAAGTAAGATTGCAAAGGGTATGGATATCAGAAAGCCATTAATTGGAGCTCCTACTGCAGTCAGTCTAATACCGTTAGCAAAACCTTTCAAGAAAAGTCTTCATAATAATGTAATTATGACCCACAATGTAATTTTAATTGCTGCTTAGCCACTCTAGTTTACTGGAGGCATGTGACTGTCCTTTGTCTCTTTCCTGAGTAATATTCATCTGTGTACCTGGAACTGAAAAAAAAAATTCAAATGCCTCAGAATGGTGTTCATGATTTCTGTCAGGTTAAATTTCATGACAAACAAAACAAAACAAAAAACTACAGTGTCAAATCAAAGTCTTAGGAAGGCTTAAAACACTGCCTGTGTGCTCTGCACTGTGGAAGATCAATTTGCATAGACTATATCAATTGGCTTTCTTCCCCTCCAGCTTATAGTTGGGTTTAACCAATGGGAGGAACCCATATATTTACCTGTTTTTTTTTGTTTTTGTTTTTGTTTTTTGGGTGAGATAAGAAGTCCGCTTTATTCAGGAATAATGGTGACTTGAGGAGATGTTAGGCTAACCCATCTCTCTGCTTAACCTGAAGGTGATGGTCAGACTAAAACCATCACAAAGACTCAGATTAACTGAGGGGTGTTTAAAAAGGAGATTGAGAGAACAGAATGTGGGAAGTGAAAAGCAGAAGGGAGGGGACTGTGTAAGGGGTCAGGTGCAAATTCTCACCATGGTTCTGTCTGGCTTCTGTTCTTGTCCCTGATGTTATCTTAGGGTCCTACAGGATTTTGATTTGCTTCAGAGTGGAATCAGCTTTATTGATGTCTTCCTTGGTTTCTCGGGGTCTGGGTAGTACATATCTCATGGCAAGTTTGCAACTTTAGGTTGACTGACAAATTTTACATTTATGTAAAAACTTGCCTCCATAACCAAGGTTCAAAATGGCAAATAACCATGGCAAATAAGGAAACCCAGAGAAATGCATGCCAAAAAAAATCTGTGCCTTTTTAAGATTTGCCTACAGCCCATGCAGTTTTAGATCCCACCATGGCTTCAGTCCTGCTCAGTCCAACAACTTCTCCACTATAAATAGTTCCTTCCGTTTCTATGGAACAATACAGATGACTCATCCTACTGCTTTGAGCTGGGTCAGGGCATAGAAGGGGTTCATTTGGGATGGGACTATTTGACATGATGGAGGACTGAGCTTTTGGTACCTGGAGGAGAGACCAAGGGCATTTGTTTATTTATTGTCTTAACAGTCAGTTGACAACAGGCAACTTACTCAGAGTTAACAAGCTACCCATTAACTGGTACATCAACAAATTTATGAACTTACGTGAATTCTTTGTTTAGGAATAGGATGTTTCATTCAAGTCATGAGCCCCACTTCAAGACTGTGAATTCTTTAGAGAACTGCTTGTGGAGACAAAACATCATTTCCACCTTTGTGATGAAAATATTCCTCATGAAAGCATAGATGATCAATTTTCTGATTGAGAAGGTTCCTCAGTGCTGGAAAGGCTCATTCCCAGTTAGATTAATCCCTCAGTGCTGGGAAAGCTTATTTCCAGGTAGTCGTGTCCGACATGGTGGGGGGGGGGAGGGGAGATGAAACAGCAGTTACACCAAATTAGGGCAACATGAAATGGGGTCAGGAGCTTAGAAGAGACATGTTTATTGAAAAATGTCTTTATTTTGCCTTCATCCCAGAAAGATACTTTTGCTGGGTATACAATTCCAGATTGGCTATGTTTTGCATCAAGCACTTTATGGATATAGTTTCTCTCTTTTAGCTTCCATTGTTTCTGATGATAACTTTTTAGTCATTTTATCATTGATCTCCTGTCAGTGTTGTATCATTTTTCTCTGGATGTTTTCAAGATTTTTTATTTCTTCAGCTGTTGACTCTGATGTGTCTAGGTGTGATTTTTCTTTTAAATTTTCTTTAGAGTTTGCAAAGTTTCTTGAATCTGTAAAATAATTTTTTTTTAGCAAATTTGAAAATTTTTCAGCCAGTAGTTATCTAAATGTATTTTTTTCTGTCCCAATTCCTCTCTCCTCTCTTTCTGAGACTTCAAGTACATGTATGTTGGAGTTTTTAAATATTCTTCTACAGATTCCTGAGACTCTGATCATTTTTATTTAATATTTTTCTCTATATTCTTCAGATTAGATACTGACTCTTTCTTCTGTCATTTCTGATCTGTCATTAGTCCATCTAGTGATTTTAAACAAATTCAGATATTGTTATTTTTAATTCTAGAATTTTCTTTTTTAAAAATACTATTTTTCTGAGGATTCCTATTTAATTATTCATTATGGAATTATTTTATTTTATATTTTTGAGAATTGTTAAAATAGTTTCTTTAAAATTTTTAAATTCTTATATTCTAAATCCATCATCTGGGCCACTTTGGGGCTCATCTCCATTGACTGAGTATTTTCTGTTTCATACTATGTCCGTTAACTTTGGATTGTGTCCTAACATTGTGTAAAACAAGTTGTAAAGACTCTGAATTGTCATTCTTCTCCCAAGAGTTTGGATTTTTTTTTTTTTTTTTTTTTTTTAGTCTGTTATAGTCTGCAATTATCCTAACTGGACTCAAAATCAAAATTCAGTCTTCTCAGTGAGTAGCCGTTTGCCGGAGACCAGCTCCGCAGGATTCGTTGGACCTGAATAGGTGGTGTTGCGTCAGCAAGGAAAGAAAGAGATGGACCACAGATGTCTAGTGCAAGTGTGGTCCACAACCACAAGAATCTTGCTTTATTTATATTTTTTTACTTAACCTTTTACATGATGATTTATCTTTTAATCAAAACATTTATTATTTCATCTCTAGAAAAAGAAAAAACAATGTTCCAGAGCACTCATGCTGTGTTAAAAGCACCCTCTCATGCATCAATAGTTCACCCCAAAGCCTGTGGCTTGTGACCAGGAAACTATACAATAGCAGCATGCTTGGCATTAAAGAGCGTCAGACTTTTAGTTTAAATTATAATTCTTAACCTTCTTAACTTACAATTTAACCCTTTTTAATCTTACTTATACTTACTACTCTTACTTTTAATACCATTGATTAGTTAAGGTTAACAATTTAATATTGCTTATAACCTATATTGATCATTTTAATTTATAATCAAAATCACAATGTTTATACCTTTTATTTCTCTGCCAATAGACTCCAGGAACAGCACAGGGGACAAAGTGAAAATTTAAATGATCCTACTCAATCTAACAAAAACACACTATATCATTCTTATTATTACTAAGGAAAGAACATGTTCTTGGTAAATCAAGTGAAACTGTGGGAGTGGGGAGAAACAAAGAAATCTGTAACTGGTTGATGATCAATTAGTTATAACCATTACTGCACCCAGACCCACCGTCTCCCTGGGGGAATGTGGATAGAAATCTAACATAACTTTATTCCACACATACAAGAGCATGACCACAGCCACAATGGGTTAATGCACATATCACTAACAAAGAAGATTAATAACAAAATTAAATGGAGCCAACCCATACCGGGAACATGAATCAAAAACACCTTTAGTACTGTCAATGCCTTTTTAAATAAACCAATTAATTTTGATGTATTATTAACATGTCCTTTACGAACTCCAGGGAATTTCCCAAAGCCATACTAAGCCAAAAGGTTAGGCTGTTTAATTCTGGGAAGCCTCGTCAAGCAACCAAAGGTGAACAAACAAGAACTTCCATGAAGCCGTACCACACACATGGGACCCTCTTGTAGCCTGCAGAACAAGGGGTATCACTTCTCAGCCTCCACGCCGTTCCCAGAGCAGGATGGCTCATGGCAGCAGCTGAAATTTGTTTATTTATTTTTGCCTTAGCTGGGCTATTTTCATTAAGTTTTAATTTACAAAAATGATATTCTGTCCTAGATATTACTGCTTACTTTTTTCACCCAGCTTTGTTATTAATTAGATATATTCTTGTTTCTGTGTGTACTACTCTGCTGCTTCTAACTGCTCGGTAGTAACCCCATTATTATCTTGTCAACACTAGACATCTGGCCCATATTATGTGGGTGCTAATTTCTGTGTGAAGAAGCAGGGAGTTGCTGTCATAAGGCAAAGTGTGGGATGGGCAAGAGCAGAACTTAAAAGCTTTCTTGCAACCCGTCCTCTCACATCCTCCTCTGGGAAGCCTTTATGGTAGTATCAACTGCCCCTTCACCTTCTTGCCCCAACACATGTACCACCTGTTGAAGCAATTTTGAGACTACCCAAGGATTTCTTATTACTTTTGTTAATTTCTAAAAAAAATCCGTGCTTTTCACTCACTTCTGTTATTTCTTGTAGGCTCTTTTAAAAGGACATTTAACAAGCTTATGCTAGCTTGCCATCTGTCAGGAGTAGAAAATCTACTCTGTTCTTCTTTCTGTGCTAAGCGTTCTCTCTGTATTCCTAAGACATAGCTAGAAGATATATTAGAAAATAGGATATCAGGAGAAATGAGGAATAGCATGTAAATTGTGAGAAAACTTTGATGGAAATAAAATCTTCAGTTTCTCCAAACTTTGGCAAGAGATGAATTTAAGGAAGAAATCAGAGGGCTGGCCCATGGCTCACTTGGGAGAGTGCCATGCTGATAACACCAAGGCCGTGGGTTCGGATCCTATATAGGGATGGCTGGTTTGCTCACTAGCTGAGCGTGCTGCTGACAACACCAAGCCAAGGGTTAAGATCCCCTTACTGGTCATCTTAAAAAAAAAAAAAAAGAAAAAAAAGAAATCAGTATCAACCTAGAGAATTCCTCATTCCTGAGTATAATGAAGCATTAAGGTGTTTCTTTGCTGCATAGCAATATTAGCAAAAACAAACAAACAATCAAATAAAAAAGCCTTGAGAAACCTAAATGATCATTCATAGACAATGGTAATAATGCTTTATCCAAATCATGAAGTACAATCAAATGACTAAAATGAATTTGGTATATCTCTATATATGATGAATTGAAAGAATTTGCAAGTTATACTATTAAGTGAGAAGAGGATGAAGAATCATTTGTTTAGTATGATATCATTTAAGTAAAAATAAAATAGCATACATTAAGCAAAACTATACATTTCTATATATGTATGCATATTTATATACTTGCAGAAAAAAAGGAAGGGAAGCAAACATACTGTATAATATTGACATACCTCTTAGAAGGGAATTGAGAATGGCAGAGTGGTAAGAGGACTTACACTTTACTTGTATTGTTTTATCTTTTCGCAGTGAAACTGTTGATTACTTATTTAATTTCACAAGTTAGTCAGGGAAATTAGATTCTGAACATAGCTTTCACAAGTATCTCTTACAGAAAGAAAACAAGTGTTTAAAGATGTCCCGTCATGTTTGAACATGTATAGAAGCAGAAAGCTTCTGCCAGATTTTGTGAAACAAATATCCTTAGATCGAGGACATAGGTGGACAACGGAGACTCCAGGAGACTTGGCCTAGAATTTCCTGATGAAAGTTCAAGCACTGGATGTAACAGCCAGAGATTCAATCCTCAGGCAGAGAGTTCTGGATAAAGATGGTAAAGGGGAATTGCTGACTGGAGTGGAGAATTTGGAAATTGGTGAGATTCAAATCATTAAACCCCTTGATGTCCTTTGTGCCTCCATGCTGTGTTCAGATGGCTCTTTGCAATGTGAAGTCATGTCAAACATGTATCAATGCCAGTTTGCTCTTCCCCTGCTGCTGCCAGATGCAGAAAACAACAAAAGCATCTTAATGCTGGGGGCCATGATGGACATTGTGAAGAAGCAGTCAGCACAGTCCTCAGGAGGCCCTGCAGAGGATACAGAAAAGTTTCTGACTCTGATGAAGATTCCTGTTACCTCTTTTGTCTGCCTATGATACTGTAGCTTCTCCAAGTCCAGAATCCTCAACACACTGCTCAGCCCTGCCCAACTGAAAACACCCCCAATTTTTCTCCATCAGGATTTGCCTGTTCTGGTGCTTCCCTGGCAAATCTCTGATGGACTGGTTGAGATAACATGGTATTTTCCTGACGGTGATGATCTAAAGGAAAACCCTAGTTTTTT